TCATTTCTCATCATCCGTTGGGGGCTGCAGGACACACGTAGTCGCCGTCACAGATGTGCGTGTGATGATGCTTCCACAGGCGTCTGCCCCATAAGCAGCAGCTCTGATCAATTCTCCTTCATGAGGTGACCGCCAAAGTAGCGCAGAGCTGGCCGGGGCATTCATGTGTGACCAAGTACTTTTTGCACAGAGAGGACTTCAGTCCCGAAGGATGTCAGTGAGAACTGATCCCAGGTTACAGGCGTGCACATCGGGGGCTGAGGGACACTGGTGAGGACTGATCCCACCTCACAGGTGTTCAGGGGCTGACAGACAGTAGTGAGGACCAAATCCCCACTTACAGGTGTGCAGACTGGGGGCTTAAGCTGACCATGACTCGTTTCCAACTTCCCCAGAGGACGAAACCCACCTCTCCTTCCTGACCGGCCAACTTCCATTCATGTCCTGCTGTGACATGCAGTCCAGCATCCTTGGGTCATGACACCAGGTGCAGTGGCACAGGGAACAGTGGGCATATTGCTGAAAATCAAGAGGACCTCAGGAGGCAGGAGCTTCTAAGCTAGAGTGACTGTCAGCTTCAACTGGCCCCGCTGGACCAGAACCAGCCCGGGGTCTCCCAACACCACAGAAAGAGACAGCTGTGGCAGATTTTACAAAATCATGCCCAGGGGAGCTCCCCACTTGCACATCACAAGGACCAGGCAGGGGCATCTCAGGATGTGCGGGAGGCAGCGGCACTGTGGAGGCCCGGGACACACTGTCTCCAGCCTCGCTAGCTGGGCCATTGCTCTGCAGCGTCTGCACCCATGGGTGCTTCCTGTCACACCTCATCCTACCCACGTTACTGCCAGAGTGAGGAATGCGCTCAGCCTCAGCCCTGAGATGGTCGTCTGCTTATTCAGCCCCTCTTCCCATCCTTGAGGCGTCTGGGTCACCTCCTCCCCCAACTGCCTTTTCCCATCCTCTGCCCGCTCTTCCCTGCAGCTGTCCATCCTCCTCACCATCACTAGCAGGAGTTCCTCATGCGCTCTGCATGCTGAGACCCTGCAGCTGGACGCAGCACAGGTCTTTCCCTCTGTCTGGCTCGCCTCCTGCCTCTGTCAAAGACGTGACTCTTCCTCAGCTTTCGGGAGTACCTCTGGGTCACAGAGGTATTGTCCCGTTTCTTCCACAGGTTTTTAAAGTTTTGCTTTTCATATTAAGCCTTTTAATCTGCCTGGAATCAACTGTGTGCCATGTGAGGTAGGGAGCTAAATGGATATGTCCTTTTCGTATGGATAAAAACCTCATTGATTCAATATTTTCCCCTCAAATGTGTTTGCTATGCCCCTAATTTTCCGATTCCATTTCCGGTCTGTGTCTGGGCTCCCTCCTGTTCTGCTGATCTATCTGTGCAGCCTCATGACAACACCACAGACTTAATGACAGTGGCAAAGGGCACCCAGCCCTGCCGGCCGTGTGCCCCGCTCAGCTTCCCTTGGTCACGTGAGCTTCTCTTTGGCCTCCGTCTGCAATGTCCGTCACCTCGCCTTTCCTGATGGTGTTGAGCTGCTGCTTTTCTCATCGTTTCCTTCAGCAGGCTGGCCAGAGGTCTACCATTTTACTGCATTTTCCTCTACGAGCCAGTTTTGCTTTTGTGGGTTATCTCACTTTTTCTGTATTCTCTGGTCCACGAATTTCTCTTCTTTATTATTTCTGTCTTCTGATTTCTTTAGGTTATGTGTTGTTTTTACTTAAATGCCTGACTTAATTTTTCATCGTATAATAGATGCATCTAAGGCTGTAGACTTGAACTTTTCTCTTTATGTAACACTCTGCTCGTTGCTGATTCTAGTTTTATTGCCTTGTAGCTGAAAGGGCAGGCTCTGCTGTGTTGGTTCTGTGAAATTCCCCATATTGCCTGGTATGTGGCCTAATTTTTAAATGATTTCATGTGTTCTTAATGAGAATCAACAATTAAGAGTTGTTCATTGTAACAATCACAACAGTGTAACTGTTCAGCTGCTGGGGCAGTGTCTTTGTATACTTTACAATTTTGGTTCCCAAATTTTCATGTTGGTATCAACTCTTTAAACTCTAGCTCTCTGTGTCGAATGGAGACGTTCTGGCGTCTCCTGTTCCGACTGTGGATTTGACCCCTTTGTTCTTCAGTCTGTTTGGCTTCTTGCATTTTTATGCAGTGTGCCTTCAAATTCAGGAATATTCATCTCCTTGTGATCGTGCTTTCAATTGTTTTCATGTTGATGAAAGTTTTCATCCACACTGATGAAAAATAAATCATGCTTTTGTCTAACAGCCTTCTTTATTTGTTTTGAAAATTTATTATCCCTGCCTGCCCCTTTCTACCTCCCTCTCACCATAGCTCACTATTCTCCTGTGCTTAATATGCGTCTTTTCATTCATATGAACCCATGCATATGGGCACAAGTGTGTTTTGCGTGAATTTAACACTCTTTAAATATCTGCTAAAATAGAACCTTCCTCCCTGCAACAAAATCTACACCACTCGTGTTTGTGCAGCCAGCAGGTAGTTAGTTCACTTTGCTGACGTCATTCATCCCCCCCTCCCCAACCTTGGTCTGCTAGACTTGCTAAAATTCTCCCTTTGAAACTTCCCAAGGCCAGTGAGTGGAAGACACTCTCAGTTGCGGTTCTTTTTTTTTTTTTTTTTTTAATTTTTTTAACTATTTTTTTTTTTCTAGATGGAGTTTGCCCTGTTGCTCCTGCTAGAGTGCAGTGGTGTGATCTCAGCTCACTGCAACCTCCACTTCCTGGGCTCAAGCAGTTCTCCTGCCTCAGCCTCCTGAGTAGCTGGGATTACAGGCGCCCACCACCGTGTCCAGCTAATTTTTGTATCTTTAGTAGAGATAAGTTTTACCATGTTGGCCAGACTGGTCTTGAATTCTGACTTCATGATCCACCCACCTCAGCCTCCCACAGTGCTGGGATTACAGGTGTGAGCCACCGTCCCGGCCTCAGTTATTTTTTAAGGTTTGAGATGTCTTTATTTTGCCTTCAGCATTTTATGAACGTTGCACTGAGAATAACATTCAAAGGTCAATGCTGTCTTCCCTGGGTTTGTTAAAGATGCCACTCCATTGTCCTCTGGGAGGCAGCATTGCTGTTGAGAAGTCTGCCGTCAGCTCACATCTGTGTTTTTGGTAGGCTGTGTGGCTCTTGTTTCTGGCCATTTTGACTTTTTTCTCCTTTTCTGGATGATCTGCATTTCACTTTAATATTCTAGGAGTGGATTTCTCAATTTTGATCATTCCTTGGTTTGTGAGATCTGGGATCTCATGTCTTTTGGAGAATTCTGAGCTATTATGTTGCTTTGTTGCCATTTTAAAAATGTTTTTCTTTGAGAACTCCTATTCCATTTATTGTGGAGCCTCTTGATCTATTCTCCATGTGTGTTAACTTTGTGCACGTGTGTGTGTGCATGTGTATGTATGCATGTGTATGTGGGTGTGTGCACGTGTGTGTGCACATCCATGTGTGTGTGCACCTGTGTGTGAGTGTGTGTGTGAGGGTTGTGTTTTCAGAGCTGCTGCACTCTGGTTAGTTTCCTCCTCTCATTTTGTTACTAGCTGCAGGCTGGAGACTGAATCTATCTATAACGCCTCAATTCTCTTTCCAATTGTTCTGTCTTCCTTGATTTTGTTCGTAGTGTCTTCCACAACACTAAGTCTCTTCCACTATGTCAAGTCTGGAATTGATCCTGTCTGTCGAGTTTTTTATTCACTTTATTATTCATCTTCAAGATTTGTAATTATTTCTATTTCATCTCTCGTGTTTCTTTTATTCTGGCCGGTTCAAATTTTATACTTTCTATATTTTTAAATCGCTAGGCATTTTAATCATACTCCTGCAGTTTTAAAGTAAGTGTCAGACTTTCCTTAACTGTAACTGTAACTGTAAGGTGTGAGTTCCTGCACCAATTGCTCATTTTAAGCCTGCCTTTCTCACAGTGGTGTTGCCTTGAGTACTTTGGAACCTTGCCCTGCTAGCTCATTTCAAGGTGAGGACATCGTGCCTCTGCATGTCTGCCTTTCTCTGCCATCTTGGTGAGGACGTCGTGCCTCTGCATGTCTGCCTTTCTCCACCATGTTGTTGAGCAGTGTTTCGTAGCATCTGCCCCATCCCAGGTCCCAGGCTTCTGCTCTGCAGTGATGTGGAGGGTGTCACAGATAAAGTCACCCTTTCTGAGGATGGCTCATCTCAGCCTCTGCTCTCGTGGCTGCGTTGCTGTCCTCTTGCCTTCCTATGCCACAGAGTCCACTCAGTTATAAGAAGATACAGCCCTGAATGTGTCAGGAAGGTTTTCCAGCCTCCTGCCTGGACTCAGGAAAGCCATCACTCCCAGGAGCTGGACCCTGGCCTTCTTTGCCTGCCTTGGGACTTGGAGCCAATAGGCCCACCTCAACCCCATCACCAGCCTGAGCTTCTCCTCCATTCCGGTTTTATGTGAGTGTGTCTGCATGTGCATGTGTGCGCATGTCTATATATATGCACACGCATGTACATACTTACCTGTCTTGGTCTTCTGTCTGTCTGACCTATTGCTGCTGTGTGTGTGGAGCAGAGAAAGTCCTTATTGCACACCTTGCTGAGGAGTGTGGACACCCTCCTTAAATGCACATGGTACCATGTTCACACAGGAGGGTCCCTCTTGTTCCAGGATGAATCTGAGGCCAAGTAACCTGCCCAGAGATGCAGGAAGTTCAGCTGAGCCCCAAGCCCATGGCCCTCAGACTCCAACCCAAAACCCCGTTGGCGGTGTGCACATCAGCGCGTGTGGGATGGCTGGAGGGCGCCTGTTACTGCCCCAGTCCCCAGGAGGCCTGCACGCCCTTCACTCCCTTCAGTTTCCTCCCAGGTGAAATCTGCAGACCCACTCCTCTGCACGTGGCCCTGTCCGGATGATCCCGTGGGATTAACAAGCTGTTATTCACCAGCCGCCAACAATGGCACGTTATCTGCTCCATTGCAGAACTGGCTGTGTTTACATCCAGGAAGGGATTGGTCAGTCACCTGTGCCAGGTACCTGGGGGACCCTGAGCCCAGCGGTATAAAGGGCAGCCACGGGAGAAGTAGCACAGCCTCTCCCAGCCCCAGCAAGCCACCCGTCAGGCTCCCGTGAACTCCGACCCTGGAGATGAAGGCCTTGCTCCTAGCTGTCAGCCTCAGCCTCATTGCTGCCCTGCAGGCCCACCATCTCCTGGCCTCAGATGAGGAGATTCAGGATGTGAGGCTCAGATGGGAAGGGTGGGCTGGAGCGGGTGTGGGGTGAGGCTGAGACAGCTGGATGGAGACCCCATCCCTCCCCCATCCAAGGAGACCCTCATTTTTGGGTTGGGCATTAAAGCCAAGGGAATGGGGCAGCAGGAGTCTGGGCTGGGGAGGTGGGGGCACAGAGGGGCAAGGCTGGGAGTGTGGGGGTCTGGCTGACTTCACTTCTCCCCTGGGGATGAGGGCTCCTGTGGTCCTGGCTGAATTGCAGGGACTGGAGCCACTTTCGGGTGGTCCTGGCGAGGCACTGGATGTTTTCTGCGTCGTCAGATTGGGGAATGCACCTCGTCTCCAGCCCTCGGGTTGGGGTAGAGTTTGAGGGCTGCAGGCAGAGAAGTGGGGAGAGGCTCTGGAGCGGTTGGCCTGAGCCTGATATAGAGGAACCTTCTCCAGGCGTCAGGGACATGGTATCTAAAGGCCATGACAGTGGACAGGGAGCTTCCTGAGATGAATCTGGAATTGGTGACACCCATGACCCTCAGGACCCTGGAAGGGGGCAACCTGGAAGCCAAGGTCACCATGCTGTGAGTGTCACCAGCTGGCCGGGCAGCCTGCAACCTGGTCTATGGCCTTCGTTTCCCCACCCGGGAGAGCTCTGGTGCTGGGGAGGCCGACCTGCTGGGAGGACCCTCTCAGGGCCTCCTGTAGTGCTTGAGGGCAAACTGTGCCACCGAGGTGCCTCGGCTGGAGAGGGCCTGGGGGGCAGAGGTCCCGGATCAGACCCCGTGGGCTACCAGGGGCAATGCTGGGTACTGTCCACTTCATTTGCCCACTGGGGAATGTCTGGTGCTGTGCAGGACCCTTTAGGAAAGGTATTTACCTTAGACCAGAGTCAGGCCCGTAGGCAGAGCCCATGAAGTGTAGACTCGTAGCCCTGGCAATAAATTTCTGCTCTGGAAAAGCGCAGGGATGAGGCTTGCAGAATGACCAAGAGGGGACATAAGACATCATGGAGAAGACCCCTTTGAAGTCCCTGTGTAGTGCTTACCTGTGCCACTTCCACCCACGTGGCTCACTTCTGTGACTTCCCACCTGTGTGGCCCCCACCTGTGCCACTTCCCACCTGTGTGATTTCACCCATGTGTGGCTCCCACCTTTGCCACTTCCCACCCAGGTGATTTCACCCACGTAGCTTCCCCCTGAGTGCATACAGTGCCTGTGCTCTGGTCCTGGGGACCAGCCCTTAGGAAGTCACTGACCCTGGCAATGACCCTGATGTTTGTCTGTTTTCCCGAAAGCCCCTAACTCAACCTTTCCCTCTCTGGGCCAGATGATGGTGGACGTGGGGCTTGACCCTGAATATCTCCAAAAGGAAGCAAGCAGCTGGTGGGATGAGGGCTCAGCCCCACGCCACAGACACTGCCTGCAAACCAGGCAGCCCAGGTCCCTCTGGCAGCAAACATGGCAGGGGGGTTAGGAAGGCAGCCACCAGGAGTGGAGCAGAGCTCCTGGCCACCTCGGGAGACCACGAGAACTCCAGTGTAGCCTGGGCCACTGGTGGCTGGTCTGAGATGCAGAGAAGCACCCTCCTCCATGGGCGTGTGGCAGACCCAGGGCCGCCTTTGCAGGGCATTGCCGTGTGGCTGCTCCCAGGCCGGGGGAGGCACAGGCCAGGGCCGCTTTGCCAGGGAGCTTCTGTTTTCCAGGATAAGTGGTCAGTGCCAGGAGATGAAGGTCATCCTGGAGAAAACTGACGAGCCGGGAAAATACACGGCTGGTGAGTCCTGGAGCCCGAGCCAGAGCCTGAGCTCAAACACACATTGAAAGTGGAGGGGCAGCCAGTGCCTTTTCGAGGTGGCCTTTTGGCCTGGGAAGACTTTTGCTGCCTTTTGACCCCACTAAAATCTCACTCCCCCTGCCTCACTGGCCAATTTGCATTAGAGACATGAACCCCTGACTGCAAACACCAGGAGTGGCTGGTTTGTCCCGGGATGGACTCTCTGGGCTTTCCCTGTAGCTCTGGCTGAGGCCCAGGCGGGGCCAGGAGCAGGGTTGTACTTGGCTTCGGGGGCTGCACCTCAACTCCCACCTCCGCACCCAGAACCTCCTGCACCTCACTGGTTTGGGATGTGGCCACCTCTCGGGTGCATCAAGTTCCTGGGAAGTGGGGATCCTGTGGCCTGGGGCTCAGGCCTGGTGGGTAACTCTGGGAAGTTGGGAGGGTGCAGAAGCTGCAGGTCTTGCTGGGCCCAGCGCCGCACGCTGTCCCGGGATCCTCTCTGAAGGCTCCAGTGGCTAATTCAGAACTGTGCTGCTGTCCTTCTGCAGATTGGGGCGAGCATGTGATGTACATCATCAGGTCGCACCTGAAGGACCACTAATCCTTTACTGTGAGGGCGAGCTGCTCGGGAAGTCAATCAGAGTGGTGGAGCTCGTGGGTGGGGTCCCCCAACCCCACCCCATGGGAAAGGCTCGGTTTCTCCGAGCCTTTCTCCTGCCCTCCCTCCTCCCTCAGTCTCCTGCACCCTCTTTCCATGGGAGAAGCCACTGGGACCCAGGAACCCACTGCAGTTCCCTTAGGATGAGTTTTCCTGATAAAAGCCCCAATTCCCACCCTTGGAGTTCAGGATTCAGGATGCCCCTAGGTCTGCAGCGGAGGCAGGAAGAGCCGCGGCTGTTGGCACAGGAGCTTAAAGGTCACACGTGTCACCAGGTTGAGAGCCCCTCCCCCGGGGCAGCTCCCTGCAGCGTCATCCTTGAGCGAGTTCCAGCGGGGTGTCCAGTAGGGAGAGGAGCGGGGATGTGAGCAGGAGTCTGCGTGGAAAGGACGTTCCAGCTCTTGGGGTTGAATTCTGGACGAGGTGGCGCCTGCAGACAGTGGCGTGTCAGTGCCGTCCCTGCCTGAGGACGAGGCCCGAGAAGGCTCCCAAGTTCTCTGTGGAGCCAGGGGTGTGCGAATCACAGAGGAGTGGGACAGGCAGTGCCCTTCTGCCCCAGAGGGGAGAGGTGCTTTCTTCAGGGTGGGCCCATCCTGCCATCCATCCATCCTCACTTTGGGAGATGCTCTGGCACAGATGGAGAGCCCTTCCCACTTCTCCCAGTTCTGCTCCCGAGGGAGTCTCCTGAGCCATCCATGGTGCCCTGGTCCCACTTTGCCAGCCTGAGGGCCTCTGGGTTCAAGTTGCCCCATGGAGGGTGAGGTCCCCCTCCTGAGCCTAGCTCAGGCCTCCAGGCTGGGACAGGGGTGCTGGTGACTGCCCAGTGCTGCCAGGAGCACCCACATCTTGTCCTGGCACCCACAGGGAGAGACCCCGAGAACAACCCGGAAGCCTTGGAGGACTTTGAGAAGGCCGCAGGAGCCCGTGGGCTCAGCACAGAGAACATCCTCATCCTCAGGCAGAGTGGTAGGAAGGATGGTCCCGTGGAGTCCCCATGTCCCTGCGTGGGGACATCAGCAGAGCCACATTGCTGGGGCGCATAGTTGCACTTCGTGTAATTCTGGCTTTGTCCTTCCTGGGGTGGTGGAGCTGGTGGCCGATGAGGGCCCCAATCCTGACTGCATTCCTGGGGTCTCCTGACTCACTTGTGCTTCCTTTTCCTGCAGAAACCTGCTCCCCAGGGAGCGATTAGGGTGAGTGAACAGCTTTAGAGGACGCTTGAGAAAATCCAGCCCTGGGGCTCAGTGGTGCTTCAAGAGGCTGAGGGGTCTTTCCCACCCACCCCACTCCTACCTGGGTGGGAGATGCCCTGCGTGGGCCAGGCAGGTGCAAGCTCTGCTCCTGAGCTGCCTGCACTCGGGCACTGGCCTCTGCTCTTGCCCTGGGCATGGCTCCTGGGCAGCTGGGAAGCCTGCAGTGCCAAGCCCACCTTTGCTGGTTGCTGCGGGGTGTCTACCCCACAGCCCCATGCATGGGAGGAGGCAGGAAATTCAGGTTCCTCCTCAGCACCCCTCACCCTCAGCCATCCTTGTGACCCCACTTCCCTGATGAATTGCTGAAAGATTCAGCAAAGTGGCAGGCGTGCCTGTGCTCACTGCATCAGATGGGCCCCTCGCTGGCTGCACGAGGGAACCAGAGGTTCAGAGACTGGCCCAAGGTCACCTGCCCAGGTGTGGGTAGAGCCAGAATCCGGACCGCATCGCTGTTCTTCCCACGCCCTCCCCTTGGTCTGCAGCCACCCGAGGCCTCTTCACTTGGCAGGGAGCTCTGTGGGCAGCCTTCGGGGAGTCCCTGCCCCATCTGCTCCAATCCAGAGGCCAGAGCCCCCACCAGCAGCCCCCGAAAGCCCAGTGTGTGCCCCCCACACCATAGCTCCTGAGGGCCCAGCTTGTGACCCCCACCATAGCCCCCAGAGCCCTGTATGAGCCCCCACACCCTAGTCCATGAGAACATGCATGTGCCCCACACACAACGCCCCTGAGAGCCCACATGTGCCTCCACCCTGTTGTCCCCTAGAGCCCACATGTCCCCCCACACCATAGCCCCTGAGAGCCCACATGTCCCCCGACACCATAGCTCCTGAGAGCTCACATGCACCCCCACACTGCAGCACCAGAGAGCCCGCATGTACCCCATGAAGCATCCCCCTCCCATCCTCCCTGTCCTGGTCTCACTCACCTTCCCCACCTTTCTAGGGCAGAGGGCACCTTCGCTCCTCAGCAGCCCAAGGACGGCACCACCCAGCACCTCCGTCATTCACAGGGACATGGAGAAAGCTCCCTCGCCCCTGCAGAACCCGGGCGGCTGCACCCCTTCTTACCAGCCCCCCATTCCTCCCACTCTGTGTCCCCCTCTTAGTTCTCGATAAAGAGCTTCAGCAGTTCCTGGTGACTCCGTCTATCTGTAGGGTCCCCCTTTGGGTGTGGAGCTGGCTGGGTGCTCCCTTGGGTGCAGGGAGAGAGTGGGAAGTGGGAGGAAGGACAGGGGAACAGCCTCAGCTCAGTTCTCCGTGGTGGGTGCCGCAGGCCAACAGTGTGAGGGGCCTGGCAGGTGGGTGGGCGGCTGGGGGCTGGGCCTGAGAGTCCCGGGGTGCTTCCTGCAGGTCAGCTGCCCACGGAGCTCAGGCTCTGGTGGTGGGCAGGGTGGGGCAGGGCTCTGCTCCTCGGTCCCTCACAAGTAAGACCCACAGGCCTGGGACCCAGTGCAGCTGCTGCCCCAGAGGGGGACTGGGCAGGGCCACCTGGGCCCTCGGCACGGACCCTGAGCCTGGATGTGGGGGGAGGGGACAGCAGCTCCAGGCTGGATCTCACCAGCCCTGTCCTCAGGCGAACCTCACCAGCTCTGCCCCTCAGGGCCTGGCCCAACGCTGTCCCTGTCTGTGCATGGGCAGGTTTGGGACAGAAAGTTCCCGGCTTGGGGACAGCCACCACAGGTACCACCTCACGCAGGGGCCTTTCCTGAGCCTGGCGGTTTGTAGGATTTAAAGTTTCCTTAGATGGCGCAGCACCACGGTGGTGCTGGGAGTGAGGAGAGGCAGACGCTTAGTGACTCGCTGCTCCGCAGGAGAGGGCAGCAGCCCGGCAGGGCCACACGGGTTAGCTTGCAGTAGCCATTGGAGCTCAGGGGCAGCCTATGTAGAGGGAGGGGAGGGGGTGGCGGGCGAGGACGTGGCTGCTGGTGGCCAGCTGACAGGAGTCATTTCTCCGCTCCAGGGCATAGGGGCCGTCCCTGATTGTCTGGTACCTGGCCTTAGGGCAATGAGGGCTGGTGGGTAGTGGCCCCTGAGTGGGGCCGCTGCTAGGGCAGAGCTGCTGTGTGGACCAATCAGCTGCTCAGGAAGTGGGGGCTGGCCTTAGCAGGGGCCTGAACACTGCTTCAAGACTGCATTTTCAAAAAAGGCGATTCTGGCCGGGCATGGTGGCTCGTGCCTGTTTTCCCAGCACTTTGGGAGGCCGAGGTGAGAGAATCACTTGAAGCCGGGAGTTGGAGACCAGCCTGGGCAACAGAGCGAGCCCCCAGCTCTACCCCCCTAACCCCCAGCCAAAAATTAGCTGGGCTTAATGGCACACACCTGTCATCCCAGCTACTCAGGAGGCTGAGGTGGGAGGATTGTTTGAGCCCAGGAGATGAAGGCTGCAGTGAGCTATGAACATGTCACAGCATTCCAGCTTGGGTGACAGAGCGACAGCCTGTCTCAAAAAATAAGATAAAAAATAAAAGAAACCTGATTTCGCTTGGGCTCTGCTTTCTGTATCTCAAGATGAAGCTCGTTTCTTAGGAGGGGTCTGAGGTTCTCGTAGCTGATGCCACCCATGCCCAGCTCCATGTCCCATCTGCCAGGCTCCAGGGGTGACATGGCTGCAGCAGGTGTCACCTGCAGTGGGTGGACGTGACCACGAGGGCCAGCACTGCACCAGTCTTCAGATGCCGCGCCGAAGAGCGGGTTCACGCATGTGTAGCTCAGAAAGTGCTGCGTGCCCCATATGACCTCCACGGGGAAGCTAGCACCCGCCTCTCCCATAGGGCTAGTGCCAGAGCCAAGGCCTGAGCGGCAGTCTGGGTGACTGTGCGGAGAGGAGAGGGTGAAGGGGCAGCAGCGATGGAAGAAGACAGACGCCCCACCTGGGGGGCACCCCAGAAGGGAGCAGCCCTCTCTACGTGCAGAGTTTCAGAGAACGCTCACATGGACCAGAGCGCGAGTTCGCCAGGAGCTGGAGACGGAGCTCTGGACCAGAATCGATGCCTCAATCAGTCCCTTCCAAAGGGAGTTTGGGAGGTGCTGGACCGGAATGGACAACTCAGGAGGCGCAGGGTCTGGTGCGGAGGGGCCGTCTAGAGAGGAGGTGTCCCTGGAGGACTGGTGGGGAGGAAAGTGGCTGTGAAGAAAGTGGTGAAGAAGGAGGACCGGGCGGGGTGGGGCGGCGCCTTGGAAGATGTGGCGGAAGGTCCGGGGGCCACCCATCCGCCCCAACGGCTCCGTTCATCCCAATTTTATCTCAAGCATGTGTTGGGTTTTTCCTTATCCCTCTCTGCATTATTTTAAAAGTGGCTGCTCTAGGGGTGACCGGTGACGTCCTTAATTCACAGTGGACTTGGAAGGAGCATTGCGTCCCTGACTTAAACGTGACGACCGTGTGACCACACAGGTGCAGTCCTCCCCACTCTGCCTGGTGCCATTGCGACTGAGTCACATGCTATCTGCACACGCTGGAGACTGCTGCGACACAGCACAGCAGTGCTTGCTTGAAGCAGTCCCACCTGTGACAAAGGAGCGGAGAGGGTGTTTTCTCTTTACCTGCAGACCCTCCACGCCAGGTGCTCCTTCATCCCTGAGTGTCCTGTCTCCCTGCTGGTCACACCCCTCCAGCCTGAAGAATGGCTTTTATTAGGTTGGTGCAAATGTAATCGCGGTTTTTGCCATTAAAAGTAATGACATAAACCACGATTACTCTTGCACCAACACAACCTAATAGCGTTTTTTATACTGCTGGCTGCTGCCCACAAACTGATTCCATTTTCTTTTATCTGCATGTGTTTCACTTTGCTTTTACTTTTGAAGGATATTTTCAGCAGATACAGAATTTTCATTGGGGCTCGAATGGCTTACGCCTGTAATCCCAGCAGTTTGGGAGGCTACGGTGGGAGATCTCCTGAGGTCAGGAATTCGAGACCAGCCTGGCCAACATGGTGAAATCCCATCTCTATTAAAAATACTAAAATTAGCCATGGCATGGTGGCACATGCTTGGAATCCTAGCTACTTGGGAGGAGGAAGCAGGAGAATCACTTGAACCCGGGAGGCGGAGGCTCCAGTGAGCTGAGATAGCACCACTGCACTCCAGCCTGATCAAATCCAGAAATGATCAAATTACATCTAAAGAAAGTAGGAAAAAGGGAAATAAAGAAACTGACAGTGGGGGAGGCAGATGGGGTGGGTGAGTGTGCACCCCACATTCGGAATCCCTGGCCATTTGGGTTCCATGCCAGCTCTGGGTTTATTGCCCTCGGTTTCTAATTGTGCTTGATTATCCTGTGTGCACCTGGAGCCGGACCCTGCAGATGCTTCTCCTTCATAGCTGGTGCACTGTTGGGTCTTGGTAGCCGAGGGCACTGGGGGTCGCTGGAAGAAGGGGCTTCCCTTTACATTCAGGGGTCTTCCTCTTCCTCCTCTGTCCTGAGGGGCTTGGCTGGCAAGCAGGATGCCAGGTGGAGCTCAGCCCCAGTGAAGTCAGCAGCAGCCCCATGGGTGGCATTTGGTGAGTTCTTGGGTTCCCAAAGTCAGCGAACTTCTCTGCGATCCCAGGGGCCACAGACACAACCTCTCCAGGGAGGCCTGAGCACCTTCCAGGTTGTTCCTACCCCGGGTGCTCGGCCTCAGCCCTGGGGTAGAGCTGGCTCCGTTTCTGTTATTTCTGTGGTTTTAGAGTCCTCTTCACCGGTGGCAGCCCCTTTTCTTTCACCAGTTGGGAGTTCTTTACAGTAAGCTTTGCCTTATGTGTCTCTGACACCCTCCCTCTCTGTGTGAACCACGGTCTTTACTTCTGAATTTGGACACACTGACATCTGGGGCCTTCCCCGCCCTGGAGAAAGTGCTTCTCCTGCAGCTGGCTAATCTCTAGAAATAGCTGATGGCTTGTCTGTAAGGGTGCCTTCCACAGACAAACCAGCCAGTCCAGAGCCCACACCCTCGCCAGGGCAGGTACCGGACACTAGGGACAGCCAGTCCCCACACCCCAGGGCCTGGGATGTTATTGAAACCAGCCCGCCCTGAGCCTGTTCACCCTGCTTCTCCATTCCTTCCCGTGGAAACGTGGGAACAGCAGTGCAGGCTCTGCCCACGCTGTCCTCCTGCCCACCCCCTCCCCGTACCTCCCGACAGGCCCTGGTGCTTCCTTGAGCTCCACCCCTCCTGTTTCTAGGGGCCTGAGTATCATAAGCCTTCATCCTCAGTCATCCCCATGGCTGTGTCTTCCCCTCCCAGCCTAAAGCAAATCCTGGGAACTCTTCAAACGCCTGCAGCCCAGAGTCCTTTCTCCATGTTATGTGGAGCCATCCCGGCATCCCAGCCCCTGTGAATGAGGCCACGACCCAGCTCAGCCAGTCCTGGAGCCATGGTTAGAGCTGCTCTCCCTGCTCAAGCCAATGCATGAATTTTGGATTAATCGTCAACCGTGAGCCGGCTGGATGCTAGTTACAGTGCTGAGGGCAGCTTTTATTCAGCAGCTTCTGAGAGCCAGGGACAGGGTTCCATGCCACTTTGTGCAGGGGTGCAGGGGTGCTGTGAAGGCAGAGTGGGGGGTGCAGAAGAGAGTGGGACTGCTTCTGCTTCTGTCATAAATATTTTCTCTCCCTTCCTCCCTCCTTCTCCCTCCCTCGCACCCGGCCTCTCTCCTATAAGGACCCTGTGATAACAGTGAGCACACCCAGACAATCTAGGGAAATTGCTCATCTCAGATTCTAACTGAATTGTGTCTGCGAAGTCCCTTTTACCATACACACGTCCGCAGTTGCAGGGATGACGATGTGGACATGTTTAGGGGACCATTATTCAGTCCACACATGGGGGAAACTGACCATCAATGGGGCTGCGGGTGAGTGAACAGGGCGTCTGGGAAGTGATGTGTCCTAAATGGAACACAGCTCAGGGAAGGGACAGGGAGAGGAGGGCCGCACCTTTCCATCCTGTAGCCCAGAGAGGTTTCTCTGGAGAGGTCGTTTTTAAAATTTTAATTGATATATTTTTCACATGCCATCATACTCATCCTTTAAAAATGCCCAATTCATGAATTAGTTGCTATAATTTTCCAGGGCTTAAAATAAATAAATAAATAATAAAAATGCCCAATTCAATGGGTTTTAATAAATTCACGAGGCT